TGCGTGAGCACTGTAAATATCTGTCTTGAGAGGAGAATAAAAACCCTTAAAAAGGCTCATTTCTTACACCAGATGAGATTTAGATGGGATATTAGGAAAAATTTCTTCACCGAAAGTGTTGTCAAGTGTCGGAACAGGCTGCCCGAGGAAATGGTTGAGTCACCATCTCTGGAGGTATTTAAAAGACATGTAGACGTGGTGCTGAGGGACATGGTTTAGTGGTGGACTTGGCCATGTTAGGTTAACGGTTGGACTTGGTGATCTTAAAGGTCTTTTCCAACCTATATGATTCTGTGATTCCATGATGATTCTACCACGTTTGATGTGATGAGTCCCACCTGACTCTGATATGTTTGTACAGCACCAGTGTTGCAGATCCCAGATCTGTGACTCAGGCTGTAGGCAGAGTGATGATAATACTACTGCTCCTGTGGTTGTTTTGTTTTCTTAGTGATGGATTTGCCTCGATAGTCAGTGTTCTTTGGCCAGCCCTTAGGAAGGCGCCCCGCCAGACCTGTTGTTCATGAATAGAGAAGGACTTGTGGGTGATGTGATGGTTGGAGGCTGTGTTGGGCATAGCGATCACGAAATGATAGAGTTTTCGATTCTTGGAGAAGTAAGGAGAGGAATCAGCAGAAGTGCTACTTGGATGTCCAGAGGGCAGACTTTGGCCTGTTTAGGAGCCTGGTTGACAGAGTCCCTTGGGAGGCAGACCTGAAGGGCAAAGGAGTCCAGGAAGGCTGGATATTCTTCAAGAAGGAGATCCTAAAGGTGCAGGAGCAGGCTGTCCCCATGTGCCGAAAGACAAGCTGGCAGGGAAGAACGACTGACCTGGATGGGACTCAGGAAAAAAAGGAGAGTTTATGATCTCTGGAAGAAGGGGCAGGCCACTCAGGAGGACTAGAAGGATGTTGTGTGTTATGCAGGGAGAAAATCAGAAAGACCAAAGCTCAACTAGAACTTTGAGAATCTGGCTACTGCCATAAAAGACAATAAAAAATGTTTCTTTAAATTCATTAGCAAGAAAAGGAGGACTAAGGAGAATCTTCCTCCTTTATTGGATGTGGGGGGAAACATAGTGACAAAGGCTGAGGAAAAGGCTCAGGTACTTAATGCCTTCTTTGCCTCAGTCTTCAATAGTAAGACCAGTTGTTTTCTGGGTACCCAGCCCCTGAGCTGGAAGACAGGGGCGGGGAGCAGCGTGAAGCCCCCATAATCCACAGGAAAATGGTTAGTGACCTGCTACACCACTTAGACACGCACAAGTCTATAAGGCTGGATGGGATCCAGCCAAGGGCACTGAAGGAGCTAGCAGAAGTACTCACCGAGCCACTTTCCATCGTTTATCATCAGTCCTGGCTAACTAAGGAGATCCCAGTTGACTGGAAGTTAGCAAATGTAATGCCCATCTGCAAGAAGGGCTGGAAGGAGGCTCCCAGAAACTACAGGCCTGTCAGTCTAACCTTGGTGCCGGGGAAGGTTATGGAGCAAATCACCTTGAGTGCCATCACAGCACGTGCAGGACAACCGGATGATCAGGCCCGGTCAGCATGGGTTTGTGAAAGGCAGGTCCTGCTTGACTGACCTGATCTCCTTCTGTGACAAGGTGGCCTACTTAGTGGATGAGGGAAAGGCTGTGGATGTTGTTTATCTAGACATCAGTAAAGCCTTTGACAATGTTTTCCATGGTATTCTCCTGGAGAAACTGGCTGCTCATGGCTTGGGCAGGTGTACTCTTCTCTGAGTGAAAAACTGGCTGGAAGGCCAGGCCGAAAGAGTTGTGGTGAATGGAGTTAAATCTAGTTGGTGGCCGGTCACAAGTGGCGTTCCCCAGGGCTCAGTGTTGGGGCCAGTTCTGCTTAATATCTTTACCAACAATCCAGACGAGGGGATCGAGTGCACCCTCACTAAGTCTGCAGATGAAACCAAGTTGGGTGAGAGTGTTGATCTGGTCAAGGGTAGGAAGGCTCTCCAGAGGGATCTGGACAGGCTGGATCCATGGGCTGACGCCAACTGAATGAGGTTCAACAAGGCTGGGTGCCAGGTCCTGCACTTGGGTCACAACAACCTCATGCAATGCAACAGGTTTGGGGAAGAGTGGCTGGAAAGCTGCCCAGCGGAAAAGGACCTGGGGATGTTGGTTGACAAGCAGCTGAACAGGAGCCAGCAGTATACCCAGGTGGCCAAGAAGGCCAAGAGTATCCTGACTTGTATCAGAAATAGTGTGGCCGGCAGGACCAGGGAAGGGATCATCCCCCTGTACTTGGCACTGCTGAGGCCGCACCTCAAATCCTGTGTTCAGTTTTCGGCCCCTCACTACAAGAAAGACATGAAGGTGCTGGAGCGTGTCCAGAGAAGGGCAGCGAAGCTGATGAAGGGTCTGGAGCACAAGTGTTACAGGGAGCGGCTGAGGGAACCGGGAGTGTTCAGCCTGGAGAAAAGGAGGCTGAGGGGAGACCTTCTCACTCTCTACAACTACCGGAAAGGAGGTTGTAGTGAGGTGGGAGTCAGTCTCTTCTCCCAAGTAACAAGGGATAGGACAAGAGGAAATGGCCTCAAGTTGTGCCAGGGGAGGTTTGGATTGGATATGAGGAAAAATTTCTTCCCCAAAAGGGTTGTCAGGTATTGGAACAGGCTGCCCAGGGAAGTGGTGGAGTCACCATCCCTGGAGGGATTTAAAAGATGTGTAGATGTGGTGCTGAGGGACATGGTTTAGTGGTGGACTTGGCAGTGCCAGGTTAATGGTTGGACTCCATGATCTTAAAGTTCTCTTCCAACTTAAATGATTCTATGATTCTGTGAGTCTGTTCTACAAACTAAACTTATTAAGCTCTCCTTGTTCATGACCCTTTTGCTTACGATGATCTGAGGTGGAGGAGTACCTGCTCCGTGTTGAATGCTCTCCTTCACCTGTTTACCCTCATCCCACTTTGTGACCTGCGGGAAAGAGTTCACAGATTGGCTAAAGCAATTTCAAAACTGTAAAAAACAAACCCTCATTAGTTTCCTAAGTCTAGTCCTCATGTTGGGAATTTGGGAGATTGGATTTAAATCTATAGCGACATTTAATTTCATATTCACAGTGGGGTGCTTGCTGTAAGTGGAGGAGCGAGTTCATCTGCAGCACCAAATTGAATCTGAAAGTAAAATGCTTTTATTACCACTGGCCTCACAGCGGGGTCTCTCCCAGACTCATCTTTTCTATTTCAAAAGCTGCTGCTCTTCCACTTCACAGACAAATCCTTCCATCAAACCTACAAGCAGAAGCTGCAAACCCAACAAAATTTGTCATCTCCAGAGACAACTGTATCTGGGCTATAAGTACCCAAATCCGTGGGGCAGTACCAGCAAAGCCAGGCTTAAGACTGTGTTAACTTTACTCTCAAAGCTGCCAGTTTTAGACCGCTTTACAGTTTCTGGAAGCATTCACATTTTACAAATATGCATCGCAGCCCTTGGAAAACGTAAAAAAAAAAATAAAAATCATTCAGTCATTTTTGAGGGAGAAGAAGATTAAGACAAAACCCTCGTTCTTGCCCAGACTAAGAAGAACCACTGTGGCTCTCTTGGGCTCAGCGCTAGAGTCGCGGTGGCCGAGGAGAGGAGGAAAGGTGAAAGGCTTGGGGTCTTGGTGGAAGCCTGGTGGGGCTCTGGAAACACTCCATGAGTTTTCAAAACCAGCACTCTACTTAATGCAGGGCTTACCCAGCCGTTGTGCTTCTCAACATCTTCCTCCCGGCCTCTGAAAAGACGAGATGCACTGCGGATGCATGTATAATGTAGCAGCTCGCAAAATATGTTCTCCTGTGCTTTTCTTCCCTTTTTATTTTTTTTTTAAAGAGCCCCCAAATCACTATTTGCTGGCAGGTTTTTGGCTTTGGCTGAATTTTTTTTTTTTAAATTTTGCTGCATTTTTGACTGAAAACTTTTTGGCCAGGCATTGCTAAAGACTTCAAATTTCGGCCTAAAATTCCTGGTTTGGGGCTGTTGGGTTTTGTTTGTGCATTTGGGTTTGTTTTGGATGAAAAAGAGAAAATATTGTAGGGGAGAGTAATTTGAAGACAGAAGTCATTCCTTGCAAATAGGTTTGTTTAATTAATAACCCCTGTTCTGCTTGAAACTAATTTTGATGGAAATTCTCCGACTGTCACTACTACCCAACCACGCTGAGGCTGACGAGGCAGCAACTCTCCTCCGTGCTGTTTATATTAACATATGCAATGACTTAGATCCCTGCAAAACTGCAGAGAGCTCTGCATTATTCAAGTGTTGGAGGAGGCAACCAAAAAATCATCCATGGTTATAATAAACTGCCTGCTATCTCTTGTTTCCATTAATAGCTCCTTTATAGCCCAAATGTTTGCACTGGAGTGGGGTGGTTTAGTTTGCACAGACCCTGGGAGGAGGAATGAGTTGTGTGGGGCCAACCACCACCGTTGCTATTTGGCTTTTTCCTAACTGGGTGAGGACTCTCAGCCTCAGTGATTTTGTGCTGGATGGGGAAGGTGCCAGTGAACTGGGTAAAAATGCAGCTAGGGGCATTTCCCGAAGGACCGAATGATGTTGCAGTGGTTTCTAGCCTGTCTTTTGGCTGGAAAGGGCTTAAACCCAATGGTTGGGTTGAACTCAACGGTTGCATTGTTCAGCCCTTCATTTGAAGCCAATGGTTGGGTTCAACACTTCATTTAAACTCAACATTTGTGTTGAACTGGGGATATTTTTCGGTTGGGTTCAACTCAACCATTGGGTTCAACCCTTCGTTTAAACCCAATGGTTAGGTTCAACCCAATGGTTGGGCTCAACCGTTTGTTGAACCCAACGCAGCTAAACCCTGCAGCACAGGGGGTTTTAGTTCTCAAATGCTTCTGCATGGGGAGAGATCCCAATCTGTCCCAGCAAAGAGCTCTGCTGCTGTCTGCAAACTGTGGCATCTGCCCTGCTGCTTGTAGCTAAACGTTTTACTTCTCTGTTTTGTTTTTTTTTTTTTTTCCTGTTCAAAGGTGGGCCTTAATCTTCTGATTCAGAGAGCAAACAAGTTTACCCCCGCCACTCGTCTCTTGATCCAGAGGTTTGTGCCATTCCCTGCAGTCGGTAAGAAATAACGTCTTTTCTCTGTATTCAAAGTGTTGGCTGTAAACCTACCGACGGGTGAAAGCTGCTGAGATGGACATCTAACTCCTGCCTTCCTGCTTTACGCTGTTGCTGCCGTATCCCCTTGGTGCCAGGTCCCCGAGTCAGTACAGGCAGCGACGGGATGATGCAGAGCAACATTTCGGCAGGAAAACGATGCGAAGCTGCGGGCAGAAGCAGCTCACAAAGCTTTAACAAGCCATGCTTCCCGCTCTCAAACAGTGTAAGAAACGGTCGGCGTTGACTGGTCCTCGACCATCCAAATTCAAGAGCGTTTAATTTACGAGATCTGGTTTGAATCGTGTCAAATCAAATCTTCAAATAAGCAGTAGCGTTCAGGGTTTGTTTTTTTTACAATAAAACACACGATTAAATGCTTCTGCTCCGAACATACAGATTTCTAAGAGCCACTGATTAAAAAAAGACCGAAGTGTGTGAAGAATTAAGGCTGCTGCTGGCTTGTTGGAGCACAAAATAAACCCTTCTGCATTTTATCAGCTAACCGCTCGGTTTGAGGGAGGGGACCCGCTGGGCACGGTCTTTGCTGAAGCCCCTGGTTACAACATTCAGCAAATGATAAGTTATTTTTGCTGCGAAGAAATAGCCCATGGTGTTAGGATAATTTTTACATATATTTTTTATATAAGCTTGTTTATTTATATATATTTTTTTCCCCTTTGCAGCTGGCCCTTTCTGCAGGGCAGGGGATGACGGGGACTGTGGCCTGTAGGTTGCACTCGGTCTTATTTCTGAGCACTTTACTTGTACATAAGGGATCTGTGGACATTGTTATTGTTTCCTGGAATTTTCCTGGAATATATAGAAGGTTTCAGCTTTCTTTTTGCTTTTATGACCAGGAGGGCACTAGAGGTGAGAGCAAGACCTGGGAGGCAGCTCTGAGACTGGGCTTGAGTCAGAGATGCACGAGGAAAGTCTTTGCTGCGGGGTTGATCTATTTTCATACCAAGGTGTAAGGAGAAAGAGGTTACGCTTGTGTCGGCATTGATTGAGGACCCATAATTAATTTATTTAGCCTGTAATTAATTCTCTAGTTCTTATTTTATTTGTGTACTGTCACGCTTCGTTATGTGCCAGGACATCAGGAATCCTCCCACTAATTGCTGTTTTGTGGTTTTGAAAGCTGCGAGTTACTGGTTTGCGGGCCTGGACAAACTGTTTAATCAAGATGTGTTTTCCCATTGCTTTTGAACCACCAGCCCCCAGCGAAAGGGCAGAATTTCAGTTTTTCTGCATGAAAAGGCAGACGCTGGTGTAAAGCTCTTGCTCCACTACCATTAAGCAGTTTTCCTCTGGCCCTTCTTTGCCTCCCTCTCCCACTGACCTCGACTGAGCTGTATCGGTTGATAACAGCCTGAAAAATGGAGGTATGCATCAAAGCTTTATGGTCTCCCATCCCAAGGGGTCATGAGAGATGGAGACTTGGAGAAGCACAGCTACTGCTTGGGTGGAAAGCAACCAGACTCCTAGCAGAGATGTTCATAAAGACTCTTGTAAAGCTTTGGAAAGCTGGGGTAGGCACTGAGAAAGCCAGTCTGTGGGTCTTACTGCCCTCAGAGGTGCTCCGCTTGTTGTGTCTTTTCTTCTCTGGGTCATGTAACAGTGTCTTTGCCCGATAAATTAAACCATATCTACAGAACTGCTGCCCATAGGGCATATTTAACAAGAGTGGCTTCTCCTTGAAATCCCGCTTTCACCATGCGACCCTGAGACAAGTGCAGGGCATGGGGATGTGTCTCTAAAGGGCCTCCAGACCTCACTCGTGATAACACAGACTGCAGGCAGTTAGGAAAGCACCCAGGTAGCTAGTACGGGCTCTGATTGCTCTGATCCCCACGTCATGGCTGGTGGCACTGGAGCAGGGTGCCGGGAGGCCAGGCTGTGCCCTCACCTTCCACCAGAAGTAATTAGTAATAGCTGAAAATAGCTGAAAAAGTTGTCAAAAAAATCCTCCCCAGCCCCAGGGGATGTATCCAGGAAACCAACCCAAGTGGAACAGCTCATGGAAATGGCCGAGGCTATGCATAGCCAGCGACTGCCTTGATGTAAAAGGGGTTTGTGCTTGATGTTGGCCACCCTGGAACATCATCTGGGTGGTGAAGTTATTCTTCATGAAGGTTTTCAGTGCAGGAGAAGGGAAGGAGCGTGTCGACACTGTGTTCTGGAGAGCCATGATTCCCAAATTTGCACAACAAGGGGCTTGACCCTTTCTAGGAGATGTAGGTGGTGAAGGATATCAATGCCCAGGGTTATTGTAAGGAACCCAATTTACCCGCTTCTTCCCAAGCACTGACTGTGAATAGCTGTCGTGAAGTTACAGAGTGTCACTTGGGATGGTTTGCTTTATACTGGAGAGGTACGTGGCTAAAAAAAAGACAGAAAACCCCAAAGGTTGCATCCCAAACCTGATCCAAAGGAAATAAAAGCTGCTAGAAAGATACCTGTTGGAGGGAAGGGAGGTGAGGAGGAGGAAGGATTTCTTCTTCTTGGGCTTCTTTTTTTTTTTTTTTTAAATTCTTAAATGTGTTTAGGTGATGCACAAGGGCGTATTTAGTGTGTGGAGAGCACCCAGGTTTAGGAAGGATATTTATACACTTATAGAAGTAGGGTAGTGGGTTGCTTTTGTATTGGAACACAGTTTGCACTGTGTCACTAAGTGTTTTCACAGAAGTAGTTTCCAGCTATATTATCACAATTCTTTTCCAAATTCTGCAAATCGAATTGTCTATACATGTATTTATTTATTTCTCATTCCCCCCTGTATTTGAGACATCAATAAAATCCAAGTTTACTCAAGTTTCTCTCTGCCCAGAGAAGTTGTGGCTGCCCATCCCTGGAAGTGTTCAAGGCCAGGTTGGATGAGGCTTTGAGCAACCTGGTGTAGTGGAAGGTGTCCCTGCCCATGGCAGGGGGATTGGAACTAGATGATCTTTGAGGTCCCTTCCAACCCAACCTATTCTATGATTCTGTGATAATTAGCAGCGTTTTCTGAGAAAGCAGAATGGAAGCAGCTAAGACAGTTGCTTGTCTCAGACAGGAATCAGGTTTTGAATTTGGGACATGGTCAATGAAACCCTAATAGGATCCAGAGACCTGGAGAAGCATCTAGTATGGTGGGAGCTGCAGGTTTGGACACTCCATCATGAGTCTCGCAAGATCCTTGTGCAGGTGCATCCTGGCTTGGTCAGAGCTTCTCTGCTAGTGTGTTTTTGTATGTTCGGTCTTGACTGAGAGCTAGAAGGATGGGACACGTGAGTGTTAAAAAAGAAAAAAAAAGAGGGGCTAAACTTGCTTTAAATGAAATGCCTGTTTTCTTTTTTTTTTCTTGGATTAGGGAGCTGAAGGGTTGGTAACACAGATATTTTGATAGATGGGAAGAGTGGTCCGGTAGTTTGAATATTAAAGAGAGAGACAGAGTGTGCGTGTGTGTATGTTCCTCTTATTCTGGAGTGTAAGGAGCATTTGTCACCACAAATCATCCTTGATTGCAGAGAGCTGCATTCGTATAGGGCTCACCCACCCACCACCCTCAAAAAATTAGACATTTGTTATATGACATGAGTTGAGATTAATTAGTGAATATTAACCTATCAAGCAGTACAGAAACACATTTTTGGAAGCAGTGGTACTTGCAGCAACAGTGGGTTTGTGTTAGTTCTGGTTGGAAAGTTTGCAACAAAATGTGATGCTGGGGGGTTGCTGGAAAATGCCAGTTTATCTAAAACCAAAACTTTTATAGGAATTAGCAGCTTTTCTTTGGAAAAATTTAATAAGATCCTGGGCCCCAGAGAGGAGCTGTACCTGAGAAGGATGTTTCTCAACCCCAATTCTAACATGTTGCTTGAGGAGCAGAATTTGGGGTCATCTCAGAAGGCTACAAAAGCCATAGGCTGAGCAAGGGAGGGTTGTCAGAAAGGGTCCCAGACCTGCTCCCGTGTCCACCATGAATGCAGGGCTGTGAACTGTTAGTTGAGAACCAGAGTCCCCCAAAGTGCTGCTGGTTTGTGTCACAGTTCAGAAAAACATTATTAAAGCAAACAAGCAGATCTCTAATAGAAAATAAGTCCACAGAGCCATTTTTCCTCTAAAACGTGAAATAAGGGCAAATAGTCAGCAAGACCCCTGCTAATGGGATACATGTCCATGGAAACAACCCAACCTTGTCCTATTTAATTAAAAAAATTAATTCTGTCCTCTCTAAGAGCTTAAATCTAAGATGTCCTTCATAGCTCAGTGAAATCCCTTGCAGAGTATTTCCATCATACCAGCTAAAATCCATGATTTAGGAAGAGTTTGTCTGCTGGCTTAGTGAGGGGAGTTAAAACCAGAAGAGGCAGCTGTCAAGCAGCAGTGCCTGGTTGGCCAAGACCAACTAGTAGCCCAGTGCAAGGACATGTTTGACTTCTTAGTAGATCAGAATGTTGGGTGAAGACTCACTATGGGAGGTGGGAGCATGTCCAAACACCAACATCTGGAGATAGGGGTATTTCTTTGCGTCGATCCATTTCTGATTGTGGCAGCAGGCTCTTTTGCAAGTAAAAGAGAATTATCTTGATTACTTTTTTCCTCTTAAGAATCACATCTTTGTCTTGATATAAGAGTGACTCTTTGACTTGCAGAAACTTCTTGGCAGATTGATGCAAGCAAAGCTGAAGGACTGTCACGGCGAACAGAAGCCTGCCATTTGGTATTGACCAGGGCTGCGTTGCTAATCAGCGTGCTTTTCTCATCCTCAGCTAGTGCCAATATCTGCAACGTTGTCCTGATGAGGCACACAGAGCTGGAAGAAGGAATTGATGTTTTGGACAATAACGGAAACATTGTCGGGTCTTCCAGAATTGCTGCGAAACACGTATGTACCTGTGATGTTCCTGGCGAACGCTCAGATGAGCTTGTACACAACTGGCCTTCAGGCTCAGCGAATCCCACAGCCGTAGGAATCGATGACTTGAAGGAGCTGGAAATAGATGAGCTTTACCCATCATGCAGGGAGAACGGAGCGGCAAAACTTAATGCCTGCTTTGTACCCGTGCATGCAGTTGCGTAGCCACAAGACTGAGCATGCTGGTGGACGCAGGCAAATTGGGTGGCTGACCTTGATGGTTTGGAGGGGCGCGGATTGGCACCTGGAAGATCCTGTACTACCCTGATGCATTCACAGCCCAAAGATTTCTGTGTGGAAACTTGTAAGCAGTTTGTGTTGAATGCGAAGCAAAGATAACTTACACCTTTTTCTAAATGAGGAAGACTTCATTTTCGAGCTGAGTAGCTTTTTAACCCTTGCCGTGTCAAAACTGCCTTAACAATTGCCAAGCAAAGCTTTGTGAGAGGGTAGCCAGATGTTTTTATCCTCGTCCTAACACCTGGTTTGTTTTCCCCTCTAACCTTCTACTCTCTGCCGTCTGCCTGCAATTATTCCCTTTTCTTCCCTTCTCACATAGTTTTGTCTTCTGAGCATCATCTGATTGTCTGAGGCATGTTGTTTCCAAGTGGGCTTTAATCTGAAATGTAAAGCATGTACCGAAGCACACGCCCAGGCAGAGGAGTTAATAATATAATGCTTGGCATTTCTCTCGCTCCTTCTGTCCAAGGCTCTTAAGGGACTTCATAGACAGCAATTAATGTACAGATTTGCAGTCCTCGGCAAGAGATGGGAGATCTCTAATACATCTCCATATTGTTGTTTAGCTGGGAGCTTAAAACAATCTGTCGAAGGGCTCAGAGATACTTATTTGAGCCAGTTTTCCTCGCTTACATTCGCTTCCCCAGCTTCCCCTCTCCATCCTAATGGTCAAGGGGAAGGCAGACGACATAGAAAATAAATATTAAAAGTGAAGGTACTTGAAGTGTGATTTAGGCAGAGTTTAAACATCAAATTTGAGACTTCTGAGAACTTCTGCTCAGCTGCCATCTAGTCCCAGTGCTTCTTCCCGAATAGCGTAGTACTGGGTTTTCTTGCATAGAATTTGGCAGATCCTTAGCATAACACACCTGTGCCTCTTGAGACCTTCTCCCAGTTTGGAAGGATCGAGTGCTCCCAAGCTTGTCTGTATGCATAAGTTACAGCATTTCCATCCAAAATCTACAGTACCCTCTGCTTTCATTTGCCGAGGCCCCATGCATGGGGCACTTGAGGCATTGCAGGTGGGTGTTGGCAAAGGTGGTTGGAAGAGGTACATGAAGACGCAGCGGTGGTCACACACCTTGCTGGGGTGCCTGTGGTCTTCTCTAGGTCTCAACTCAGGGTAATTTATATGTATCATGCTGCTTTGTTTTGTGCTTCCTGGTGAATCTTGCCAGGAAGAAAGCACCAGTGGAGAGACAACTGTAGCTCCGCAGCTGGGCATCTTGGGAGGTGATTCTTCCCCTCTACTCTGCCCTCGTGAGACCTCACTTGGAGTATTGCGTCCAGTTCTGGAGTCCCCAACATAAGAAGGACATGGACCAGTTGGAGAGGGTCCAGAGGAGGGCCACGAAGATGATAAGAGGGCTGGAGCACCTTTCCTATGAGGACAGGCTGAAAGAGTTGGGGCTGTTCAGCCTGGAGAAGAGGAGGCTCCGGGGTGACCTTATAGCGGTCTTCCAGTACCTCAAGGGGGCCTACAAGAAAGATGGGGAGAGGCTGTTCAGGAGGGCCAGTTGTGATAGGACAAGGGGTAATGGTTTTAAAATAGAGGGAGGTAGATTCAGGTTGGATATTAGGAAAAAATTTTTTACCATGAGAGTTGTAGAACACTGGAACAGGTTGCCCAGAGAGGTGGTGGATGCTCCATCCCTGGAGACGTTCAAGGCCCAGTTGGATGAGGCCCTGAGCAACCTGATCTAGTTGGAGATATCCCTGTTCCTTGCAGGGGGGTTGGACTAGATGGCCTTTGAAGGTCCCTTCCAGCCCTAATGATTCTATGATTCTATGATCTTCAAGGGAGAGGGGAGCCCTGTGTGTCACAATGCTTTGCTCTAAACTACCAGTGATTAAAAGACAGAAACAAATCTTGGAGCAGGCAATAAGGTACCGTCTTCCCCCAGCACGTAGCTGAAATTTAAATTTAAAGGAGGAAGGGTTGAAGCTCCTGCTCAGCTCATACTGAGATATTTCACCTTACAGCAGCTGTTTGGCCTCTCTTTCTTCCCCCAAGCAGCACTAACGTGTTTGCGTAGGAATATGGCGACGTGTTGGAGCACTTTTGGTCACATAAAAGGAAATCAGGGAAGCTATTAGGTGTCTATGTTTATTCCACTGGATTTGTGACCAAGCACGGGCTCCAGCCCATTGTTTGTAGCAACGAAGTGAAAATAGGTTGCACACCAATAGCTGATAGGAAAGTTGAAAGCGTGTGTCGATAAATTCATTCACATACGCAACAGAAGAAAGGCCAGCCAAAGCGTTGTGCCCAAGCGTTGGTTCCTCAGTGCAGGTACATCCTGATGTTTGTTTTAAATGTCTTGTTTGTTTGTTTTTCCTTTTCAGGCACTGCTAGAAACGGCCCTGACTAGAGTGGTCCTGCCAATGCCTATACTGGTTCTACCTCCAATTATTATGTCCATACTGGAAAAGTAAGTGTTGGGTAATACGACGGTGGGAGCTTTTCAAGGGGAGGGGAGAAAAGATGCTCAGGAGGTGTTATTTATTGCTATTTCTTAGCGTTGGTCCATCAAAGACTTTTTTTGCTTATTAAAATGTTCGTGTTCCATCATTTTTGACCATTGTTGTAGGCTGTCAAAGTGTTATATTGATATGGTTATATATTGATATGGTTATCTTAAATTATTTTCTGAGACCCCAGTAGTTTGAATTGCCCTGTTCTGCAGGTCAGTGTGAGCTGAAACTCTCAGAATTCAGCAGAAAAGTGTCCGTAAGTTTTCAGTCCTCCGTTTAACAAACATGAGAGCTGCCACATGGGGTCAGACTAAAGGTCTTGGCTCGTGTTCAGCCCGTGATTGGGACCATAGGGCCTTGCTGACCACACACCACATCCAGACCACCTTGGCCACTGTTGAACTTGCTTATGCCCTGTTCGAACTCACTTGTACTTTCTTTCAGTAACGTCCTGTGGCTTGGGCTTCCCCAGAAGAATATATGCTTCACATATTCTGCAGAAATTTGCTTTCCATCACTGTTTAAGCCAGAATCTCTCCTGGCAGATGCCTCCACGGAGCATCCGTGCTAGGAGAGTTGGCAGGAAAGGGCAGGGTTATTATTCCATGTTCAGTTATCTTTTAGGAGAGTTCTTAATAGCAAAAAAACCCCAAACTGCCCTTTCCATTGGCTGTTCTCCCACCTTGCTTTCCAGCACTTCAGCTTTTTCTTCTGCCCAGAGATGCTGTGAGCCCGTTTGGAGCTGTTGGGTGCCTATGGCTCCTTGGGACACTCATCAGCGACAAATTCGGTGTGAATGATCCGTGGGGTGGGGATCACCCTGCCAACCTCTGGAGATTGATTAGTGCATTGAAAGACGCGGGTGCTAAACGCTTTGCTGCCTTTGTCCAGACAGCCAAGCTGGAAGCACTCTTTAAACAAATCTGTTGATGATGGCTGCTCTAAAGCACTCCAGTGACAAAGTAAATAGCAATTAGTACGGTTAGGGATTGACCCATAGCTTTGGTTAGCCTTGTTTACCCTTGTAGAAACAGCCCTGGGCATTTCTCTCTCCTTAACGGAAGGGTCAGGTCTGCGTCTGTAAATTTGGAGTCTGATTTTTAACATCTAAATTAAAAAATGCAGCCTGGTACCCCTCTAGCACCTGGAGGCTCTCACCAAGATCATTTCCTCCCATGGCCTGGGTGCAGGGAGAAACAGGGCAACAAACTCTGTTTGGGAACTGTGAAGTAAGTTCTTTCAGCTCTTTTCGACCAAAATACACTGTTTTCTTCTCTTTTTCAAAAGGACTGTGGCGATTCCCTGCAGCCGGGCAGAGTCTTGGTAACACTTCCTTCAAGCCACTGTTTGGAGATGGCTGCTGGAGGTGCACAAGGACAAGGGGTAGATTCCAGTCCCCCTAATTTTGTGCAGAGCATTTGATTTTCACTTCATGCTCCTCCTTTGGCAAAAGCTCTGCAGCCGCTTTCCTGCTCCAAGACCTTGTGTCACCCATACAGTCCCTCAGCCCATGATCTTCCCACAGGATCTGCTGAGGAGGTGCTCAGGAGTGACCATGCCTTACTCTGGAGGACCTTATTCTGGAATACCTTTCTCAGGGCTTGCTCAAAATCGTGTGTAAGAAGAGCAGGGATTGTCACTTATCTTTGTACCCCAGCATCTTGGCAGCTTTCCTGCTTCAAATTCAGACGCGTGATTCCAGCCTTTATAATCCCATCAAAGCTGCTTTGCTGTTGTCAGTCGAGAGGACTTCTGTTTTCATCTGTCCACATGCCAGACGCTTCAGAAATGCCATCGATTTGTGCTGTTCTTGCCACAGAGCTCTTTCTTTGCGCCTTTCTGTCGCACCGAGGCTTCGCACCGAAGTGGCTGCGTGCGTTACTGCTGGACGCGTGATTCCAGCCTTTATAATCCCATCAAAGCTGCTTTGCTGTTGTCAGTCGAGAGGACTTCTGTTTTCATCTGTCCACATGCCAGACGCTTCAGAAATGCCATCGATTTGTGCTGTTCTTGCCACAGAGCTCTTTCTTTGCGCCTTTCTGTCGCACCGAGGCTTCGCACCGAAGTGGCTGCGTGCGTTACTGCTGCCTTAACGCGGGCACTGATTCTACTCTAACCGTACCTTGGTGACTACCTCATCCAGGAAAGATCACCCCAGGGCACAAACCATTTTATCCATTTAATTCAGAGGATCTTTGCTATTCTGGTTATCAACGTGAACAGTCAAAAATCTTCATGTGCAAAAATTCAGAGTTTCTAGACATCTGGTCTATAAATGATTATCGTCAAAAAGAAACACTGAGGACCATCATGGGTCTTACTAAGCATCCACAAGCTCAAATAAAACTCATAGTAGAATTTGCTTTGCACTTGGGGGCATCATAACTTCTTGTATCAATATGAGTTTTACTAAATGCACCAGTGCTCTGTCCAAGACATGGAAACTAATTTTATCTGTCAAGCAAACGAGGACATGCAGGCGATTGTCTTAAAAAAGTCGACGTTTTAGCTAATAGAAAGACTTAATTCAGGTTTGCGGGAGAATACTTTCCTTCTCACCACCCCCAAATAAAACTCTGTAGACATAAAAATATCTGGGCACTGATTTTTCCTGCCTAAATTCTACTTAGAGCTTTGTGCCTACTGTTTCATTTTCCATCTAGTCTCTTTGGATTCCTGGAAGCCTGTGAGTGAGAAACAGCAGGGATAGGGAATGGGGTGCGGTTTGGCCACGCAGCAAGAGGTGGTATCACTGTAGGACACGGAAGCATCCGCCTGACATGGAGAGCATCCTTCTCCATAGCCGAGGGATTCACAGTCCAGGTGTCGACTCACAGATCTTTTAAAGTGGTTATTGAAGGACACAGTCAGAGGCGAAACCTCATTTTGGAAAAAAACTTGGAGCATTTAGTGAAAAGTTTAACTTTTTAGATTGAGTAGAATTTTAGTTAGACCAGGGCACCTTCGATGGGAGTCATATCAAGGCGTGCATTATCAATTTATTTATGGAAATCCTTACAGTGTCTATAAATGAGAAAGACGAGAGTGAGGGCTTATTATTTGGAGGCTGGAGATCTGGAATCAGAAGTCGCAATCTGGATCCTCCGCTAAGTCGTTTGCATTCGGGGTTGTGGCGAAGGAGGAGAGCGATCCTCCTCCTTGCATTTAAGTCCGGGTGGAAGTGGGTGACGGTGCTGCAGTTGGGTGGGAGCTGCACCACACCAGGAGCAAGCTACGTGCTCCCAGCAGCGGTTTTCAGATCCGTTGAAAACCCACTCCCTCGTTTTCATCTCAGTATTCAAAAAGTTTATTTTAAGTGGCCAGTTCTTGGTCGTCGTCTTTCCTCTTGGATCCAGGTCTTTCCTCTCTCTCAGCCATCTCTCCATCTGCATGTTTTAACTCCCCCAGCTGCCTCTCTCGTCTCTTGTGCCATTTTTTTCAGCTCTCTTGGCTTCTCTCGTCTCTTTGCCTGCTGTGTATTTTAACTCCCAGGGCCGCCTTCTCTGCTCTCCAAGTAATTCAATGTTACCTCCCACTGCCGAGCTCCGCAGCGCGCCATTCTTTCCCCATGTTTCATGCATTTCCTGCTGCTTGGACGCTCTGTTGAAGCAGCTAACATATAGAATCAATGTTTATTTTGAGACTACATATGCCATGCGGGGAACACGGTGTCAGTTATTTTGTGCAGATGTATTCTCATTTAAGTTTTATAAATAATATCTGTGTTGGCAACTTTAATACGGAAAAATATTGGTTTCGCATCGTCTTCGAGATGAAGACGACTCATCTATGGGATGTAGCTGACTTTGGAGCAGACAATGGAAACTTCGTTAGTACCTCCATGTCATGGACATGTGAGGGCAACTACATCCACTACCTTACGGTGGACTTCTAGTCCCTCAGACATTTCAGATTGTTGACATTATTCAGATGCTTCTGGGAATCCTTTCGTCTGGTGGTTATGATGAAGTCTGGGAAACAGTGCAGGTTTCTCCCAGAAAGCACCAGTTACACAGCTGTCGTCCAAGACTTCTCCAGGAGTCTTTGTCCAACTCCCAGCTCCTGCAGAGTTGAAGCCACAGCTGGTCTGTGTGTAGACTGTCCAGGTCTGCGTAAGTGCAACCTCAGGTTCCCTCGTAGGCTGAGCTCTGTGGTGGGAGAACCCAAAGCCAGTGGTAGTTGGTTCATGTGTTCATGGACAAGCTCTGTCCACCAGTAATGTCTGCTGTGGACACTTTGAGCTAATAGCTGGCAGTGGTGATTGAAGAACGTAAGCTCTTTGTGTCTCCATATCCTAAAGCCTCTTCTCTGCCTCACAGTACAAGCAACCTCAGGGGGTCTGAAGTGCAGCAGAAGATCTGAGGATGGACTCCAAAAGTTCATGTTTGTCATGCTAGACAAGGGGCGGCTCTAGAGTTGACTGTACAGAGTTTATGGAGGAGAGATGAAGCTGGAACTGTTGGCAATGGGCAAGAGCTGACAGAGAAGTGGGGAGCAAAATAGTTGAGTCCATAAAAGTAGAGAGTTTCTACTCTTTCTTCATCTCCACGTCATCCTGATCCTGATCCACATCCAGCAAGTCAGCATCCTCACACAGCAGTTGTCAGGGCTGTAAATCTCACAAAATTAGAACGTTCTCGGGCTTGATCAACATGACAGAGCTACGCTGGTGTAGCTAAGACAGTCTAACCGTGAAAATTGGATTCATTTGATGGATAGCCAGTGCTCAGCCCATGTCTGTGTGGTGCTGGAAGGGAGTTTTCTTCATGTTTTTCATTGCAGAAATGTGTGTGAGGTTGGAGGCCCTCGTGGACCTCCTTTCATGGCCTTTTGTTGTAGTCGTTCTCCTTCTGACAGTGTGTGCAGAACGTTTCCTACAGGTGCTTTTCCTCCTCTGAAGTGCAAAGTCTCTCCGTCCAGCTAAAGCCTCGCTGAAGTTTGTTTAATCTAAACAGCTGCCAGCAAGCAGTGACACCTTCAACTCCTGTGGCTGTTTCCAGAGTAAACATTGAAACTGCTCCTTTAATTATGTCAATCAAGCACAAAAATCCCCCAACCTCACTCTGTTTGCATCTGCTGTGTCCTCTGGAGAGAGCACTGGGGCTATAGCCAAGAGCAGGAGATGCTCCTGGTGAGGACAGTGGTGGCCTGACTGGACAGGACAGCAGACAGAGCTACTGGTTGCTAGAAGAGCTCAGCATTCCCCAAATGACCCAAAATGAGTGAGAAGAGCTCAGAAACACCCTCTGCAGATAGCAGAGAGACCTGACAGGCTCTCAGAAGCAGAGACGTGGTGCGGTGCTGGCTCTGGGAGGTTCTCAGCAGAACCGGGATCTGGGGTAGGACGAGCACCCCAAAGTTTGTTTTCGCATCAGAGGGGTGTTTTGAACCCCAGGCTCTGAGGAGCCTGGGATGCCTCGGGATACCCAGAGCTTCAGCCTCCAGTGCTTTTCTTACTCCACCAGCATCCTCGGCGTCTTGCGATGTATGTATTAGCTTTGAACCTGTTTATAGCAAACACTACAGCAACCCCACAGAATCTGTCAGCTGGGAGACTTCGGTTAACTCCTGTCATATTTAGTTTAGCATCTGACACCTCCTTCTAGACAAATACAGCTCTGGTTCACTGAACCCGATAACTCCTTTTTAGTACAGCAACTGACTTCCATATGGAATAAATTACAGTACCTCTTGAAAAACGCCAGAGGCAGCTGCCAAATTATGCAAAATTTAAACCACTAATGAACAATGTGATGAAAGTTGAATGAAGGTGTATTTACAAGATCTACAACACACTGTCTCTGCAGAGCAGATGTACTGTCTGTACAAGTATGCGTGTGTCTGTGTGTATACCTACGTACATGCACACTCATGCATATTGAAATGTTATCCGGTTAGGTATAGCCCTTAGCAGTAAGCGCTACCTAGGATCAGTACGCCAGAAGCTCCCCGGCGTGTTCCTGCCTTTTCTCTCTCTGCCAGGCAAATTTTATGAAAGCAAATGTGGAGAGAATAGGCATTAGGGGGTTTTGAGGGAGAGTAAAGAAACAAATCTTAAAAAAAAATACAAGAAAAAGAAAAAAGAGAAAGGAGGAGGGAAGTATTGCAAAAATGCGTGTTCTTTGCCATCCAAAGGTCGATGTATAAACATGGATCACTTATCCTAGCGAGGCAGACCATTGGTGCCAACAATTTGGCTTCTAAAATGGGAACAATAAAATGTACATATTCATAGAATCGTAGAATGGTTTGGGTTGGAAGGGACCTTAAAGATCATCTAGTTCCAACGTTGTCTTCCTGCAGGTTTCCAATGTGAGACCTTCTCTGGGAGTAAACTTTGAAATCTCATATTGTCTAGGCCTGGTTCACCAGCACCTGGCCGGTCCTGTCCTGCGTACATGGTGACAGTCTGTAAATCCACTGTTCTCATATGAGAATAGCTTCAAGTACTTGTGCAGAATTACTGGTAGGCTAAGATGACGTTTGCTCTCGTGACTATAGCAATCTGCTTCAGAAGATGTCAGTGGCATTGCTGGGCTGTCAGGAGGATCTAAAATTCCAGACCTCCACTTCCCTGATGTAACCCCTTTGGCAGAGCACACGGGACGGTGTTGTAAACTAATTCATTCTTCCACAAATGGATATTAATTCTATTTATTTTTAATCTGGTGTAACACTCTGCAATTAAACCCTTTGGAAACATCTAATCATTCGCTTCCGATGAGGGGCTAATGGGTGAAAAAAGGGGTTTTGATTGCGTTTGACAGCTAACAAGATGCAGCGTGCAGTATTTAACTTAATATTCTTCTGAGATCTGTGTCGAGAGCAAAGATCCTAGGGACAGAAGAAAAGTGGACCTCTTGACTAATTATGAGTCATTTATTCTGAACCACACAAATTTTAGAATCTGAATCCCAATTAAGACATTACACTACATGTGTTAATTAGTCCCCTCTCCTTTTAAAATCAAGCCATAACTCTTCTTAATTAGGAGGTTAGCCATTGTAATTTGAACTGGCCTGAGTTTGAAGCTCTCCTGGAAATCACACCTGGGGGCTGTACTGGGGATCATTTTAAATTGGTTGAGTTTTTACTTGGGTGATTATAAGGTCCCCAACAGGGCAGTAATTAAAGAGGGCGCAGCTTCCAAATTAAGATGTCAGGGGTGGTATAAGCAGTGATGTCTTGGTTCTAAACTGTGCTCCAGGGAGGCTTGAGGGATGCTGGTTGTATGATTTTCTCAGCGAGGGCTCTCATGGATCACGACAGCTTAAGCAGAGACTAAATCAGTTCCAGCAGTTGCCCCTCTGCATCCCAGGGACTAGTTATCACAGCTAATTGATGGCAATTCTTGAACGTTGCATTTATTACAGAGTGTGGAGCAAGGTAACCTGCTTTCTTGACAGATAAAACACTTGTGGACTTCTGCAGGAGTCTTTTAGATTGGACTGTGCTCTGTGCAAAACAAAACAGCTAAATGTTGGAGAACAGAAGCTTGGCTTTCACAGCACGAATTGATAGGATCAACTTTGTCTCGTTAGCTTATTAGTGAGGAGCTGAGATATTGGAGGAGTTAAGGCTCTGGATCTTGTTTTCCTTCCCCACTTCCTCCAGACCTTCTCAAGATGAAGACAGCTTTTAGCAAGGTTTGCTAGCAAAGGGTGAAGAGTCTGAATGTTCAGACACACAGACAACGTACAGCAGGGTAACAAGTTCCCACACGTCAGCTGCTCCGTTATAATTCATCAGGTGCGTGTTTCTAGCCTGAAGTAAACGTGGAGTAGACGGGGGTTGAGGTAATCTGTTATCTTGCATCGGCTTCGGGCACGGGCTGCACGGGATATGTGCCTGCAAAACCACTTGTGCGTGTGCCGAAGAAGGGTAACGGCGTGGCTTGATGTGGGAAGGGTTGCTCGTCTTGGTCTTGGTGGGCACCTTGTGAATGGTGCACGTTGGATTAGAAATGCTTTTTAAAACCCCGGTGATGGTAACCACAGTGATGTTCAGCGGTTAGTATAAGCTGATTGTACCTTCCCCGACCAAAAGAGAGCTCCTGTGCTACCGCTACCACCCCAGTGGAAACGCGTTAACTAGCAGATCTTGGCCCGTTTTTGATGGCAGGACACCATGAGGCATCTGTGTCCTCAAGATCGGATGGGCAGAGGAGAGATGCACGTTGGGACTAAGGCCATAGCTGATGACCCAGCAGCGAATCTGCTGACTCTCTAAGTTGTTAATATACACTGAATTTTCAAACAAAACTCACTATCAAGTTGCTGGTTTGTATTCCCAGTTGTTTCAGATTGGTAGAAAAAAGCTGAATGACAAGGTGTCCTTTTGGTGTAAATAGCTCCACAACAAACCCCTCAAGAATTACATTTTTCCCCCTAAACATTTGTAAACTGAGGTCCCGTATCGTGGAATATGCTTAACGTGCCACCTTCTACCAGCTAAATGTTGTCCCTGTCATTCGGTATTAATTGCATCAGAAGGGTCACTCAATGGGTCGTTATCGGAACCTGACCTTGCAGGTAAAGTGTTTGCTGTTAACAAGTCTTGAACTCACAAATATCCCCTGGGGACAGCAAGTGCTAAAACATCCTTATCACCCACTCTGCAGATGTTTGATTTTTAACGAATTAAGGTATTGTCAAGTTTACTTTATTACCCTGTTAACCAAGTCACGTGCCTTTTTCAGTACCACCACGTGATAGTGGTGACAAAGTTCACAATGTCTCTCAAGAACCTAATTTCCTTCTGTTCAATCTCCAAAGCCTTAATGCAGGTGCCACCTGTGTGCAGCCAGCTCACCTCGTGTGCCGTTTACTCCAGTGTGAGATGGTTTGAAATGAGGGAAGTGTGTGGGAAGTGATCCTGTTGTAATTTTGGAGAAGGAAGCACTTAGGTTGGCGTGGGCTGTGGAACCCCAGCAGATGCAAGAGCACAGTCTGCAGGACTCGGGATGTTTTGTGGGGGGACTTCCTACTAAGAAGGAACCTAGAGCAGTTAAGGAGAGGGAGACCAATGGGTCTGGGTGAACACCAGTGTCTGTTCTGATGATGGCATGCACTCACGTCGTCTGTGAAATGGTCTAATGAAGCCTTTCCTTTCCAGAACATCACTCCTGAGGTCGCGTCCCCGGATGATTCTCCCAGTCCAAAGCCTTGTGTGCCTCGCTGCCTTTGGCCTGGCCCTCCCCTTGGCCATCAGTCTCTTCCCGCAGATGTCTGAGGTCAGTACATGTCTGGTCACTGCAGTGGGATATCTCTGAGGGGCTTACCAATGCCACCACTTGTTTTGCCTTCCTGGATAATAGTCTCATTCCTATGGGGCCTCCTCCATTTTTGGATGAAGTAGGTTGTTGTCTTTGTTGCTTGACCAAATGCAGATTCACTGGGCAGGTGATGGTTATGTTGGTCTCTCCTGTTAGCACGTGCTACATCGATTAATATCACACAGCTTCTCCATGCCTTTAACCAGTGTTTGGACCATGTGGTGGGATGCCCAGAGGAGTTGTGGCTGCCCCATCCCTGAAAGTGTTCAAGGCCAGGTTGGATGAAGCTTTGAGAAATCTGGTGTAGTGGGAGCTGTCCCTGGCCATGACAGGGAGGTTGGAAACAGATGATCTTTCAGGGACCTGAAAAGGATTTCCAACCCAAACCATTCTATGATTCTGTGTACCTTCCAAGAAACGGAGGAAAAGAACAGAGAAACCTTTGTTCTGCCCAGCAAACGCAACTTTTACAGGCAAGGAATGATTGTGTGTGATTCTGCTCCCTCCCATCGCATCCATTGTTCCCCCACAAGAGTGGCCTGCTCCAGCTCTCGCAAGTGGAGGACATTTAGGCTGTATAGTAATGAAAACACCAGGGATCATGGGGACAGCCAGGTTGGAATAAGGCATTTTTTTTAAAGGTATGAGGATTAAGTTCTGCCTGCTTGATCACCAGTCAGAGGAGTGTCTCAGCTAGCACAGAGGGTGCCTCTTCAGTGATACCCAGGTCAGATCTGGTCAGATCACAAGTCAAGGGATGTTGGTGTTTCTGAGGGATGACTTCTGCTCTGACACTCCAGCTGGGTTTGTCCTGTCTTGTCTGGAGACCGTAGCTTAGTCAGAGCTGAGCCACACCAGGGAGAACATGGTTCAGCTCACCCTCTCCCATGACAGTGGTGTTTCCTTGGTGTTAACATAGTGAAAACAAGTCTTTGTCCATCAGGCAAAGAACCTGGGATACACATATGATGGGGATGTACTTTCCCAGAGCTTCTTTGAGGGTTTCTGCCTTTTCATCAGCCAGCTTGGCTCTGGGAAGGCAGCCTGGAGGTGAGCAGAGGAAAACTGGCTGAGGAAACAGGCAGCATGACCAATGACTCAGGGTACCTAAGTCATTAATTTGCATGGCGTTAATTTTGACCACGCAGTGTTTGGAGCGTATAGATTTGCAGATTGTAAATTTGTACATTTACAGGGAGGGTCACTATTAAAAAGTGATAAAACCTCTATCAAACAGAGCAAAGGACTTTGCTGAAGTTCTTTTTGTGTCAGCTAGAACAGTCGTTCAGAAATTAGTAGCATGGTTTCTACTGGTTAATTCAGTTTTTTCAGTCTGGATGGTTTTATTCACAACCTCTAGCCAGGGAATCTTGTTGTACACTTGTCTGCTAGGCTGAAAAACATGTTACAAATTTGCTGTTGTCCTTCTAGCTGTTTACAGGCTGAGAGAAAACCATCCCTTAATCTTCTCTTTAAGAAACTGAATATATCTCAATCTTGGAGTCTTTTGCTAAAAGACGTGTTTTCTGAAGCTTTAATGATTCATATGGCTCTTCCTTAAACTTTTTCTAATTAGTCAACATCCTTTTTGGAGCACTTCCATAAGAACCAGACGCAGTATTCCAGTAAGAAGTTGCACAAGTACCAGTTGCAGGAGCAATGTGATTCGCCTGCTTTTACTTGAATTCATACATCCACAGAGCATGTTAGTCATTTTGGCATGAGCTCAACCTTAGCTCCCTGTCCATCAGTTTTTTGCTGTGATCCCAAATTCTGCTGGGAGGTTTCGGTTATGAAGGACTGTAAGTATTTCCAAGTCTCGCACCCGATCAAGGTACCTGCCCAGAGTACGTCCATAGAGCATCCCTTACACTCATATTTCCAGGGAAAGGAGCTTCACCCACTGGAATGTAGCCATGGCCTTTCCTGGGAGGTCTGCTTTCAAGATAATCAGGGAAGCAAGACCACGGGAGCCACTGCCAACCTCATTTACCACAAAGGTGACGTTGCCACTGTTCCTCCAGAACGGTGCCCCCATGCCATAGGAACATACACTCTTTGTGCTTTGAGGCAGTTTTATGTTTGACCATAGTATGACGCACATTGACTTCTTTTCCACAGGTCACCCTATGATCCAGAGGTCTCTGTATCAGTGACCTGGACTCTTAATTATGTACCATTTTCCCAGACTTTGAGTCATCTCAAGCGTTAAGCAGCTGGCATTGTGTATTTTCTCCCTTCTCACTGACGTCGCACATGTTTAATAGCGTTGGCCAAATCAAACCATTCTTTCAACATAGACAGGAAGCTCACCCTACAATTCTATTTTTAAATTTAGCTTTTTGTACACTTCCAGTATTTTCTGTAGGCATCGCTTAGCATGGGCTTTTCTGAAATAGGAAGTGCCTGCTAAGGTCAGTGGGAACTAAGGTTTTGGTACCAGAATGTGAGGCATTCAGAGTTAAACACTTCGGGCTCTACAAAATAATTATTCTCCACCTTAGTTTCTTTATCTGAAGTGAAGCTCACAAGGTCTCTTTGCCTTTTGTATTTCAGCTATATGGGTGACAGATAATTTATAATGTATAGTATCTGATATTACAGCTTGAAAAATTATGTTGGTGCTAACAGCTGAATGAATTCTAGCCCACAAGGAAAATTAAGGTCTGGCTTTCTTCAAAGGATATTCGAATTGCAGGCATCAGGCAATACTGAAACCATACAGCATCACTTGAAAATGACCTTCTAAAAGCAGATGAAATGTTATCTGCAGTGTAAACATGAATCAGTGCTGATTAGTAGATCAAACAGAATGACGTGCTCTCTGCCCACGCTTCATGTCAATGAAAAGAAACCATTACAGCTGGTGGTATAGCTCGTTACCTACTGGGATCTCGGCTCCGCTCAACTGGACTTAGCTCCACGCGCGCAGCTGGACCTCACATCTGTTGACACCAAGGAACCAGATTCTCCGTAGCAGCCTGGTCTGATGAGTCTTCCAGTTACGTTTGCATTCATTATAAATATAAATGTGTGTGAGTGTGTGTGTGAAGGATGTTCCTCCCATTCTGCAAAACCTTGTTGGTGGTGACCGTGGGGATGCCCCAGTGAGCAGAGGCAGTGGTTTATGTGAAACAATCTCTCCAGAGCCATCTCTTCACAGTGTTGGATAGGAAATCGGAGTTTCCTTGCAAAGAGCATTTCTCAGCACGTGTGACTTCTTGGTCACTCATCACTGATCCACGAACTTGTCAGATAATTAAGTTAATAGACTTTGAGTGTTTGAACATCGGCCTCTCTCTCTGTGTTTACACATGTGTATATATGTATGCATGTGTGTGTTTGCTTTTCCTCCTAACCGCAGTAGGTGAAGCAGCTATGAACATAACATGACTGACATGATGCTGTTGTAATGAGCACTACCCAGGGAGTAAATTATTAACAACAAGATGTAATAGGCGTGTTCTGTTCCAAAAATATGATTATGGTCTGAGCAGCAACCCTTTCAGGAATTGTAAATGAGCCAAATTCTGCCCTTAATCACGCATTCACAGTCCTTTTTCTTTAGTCAGGGAGCAAACACAAGAAGCTGATGCGTTATTAAGCGCTTGTTTTAGCATGGGAGCTTGACTGGCTGCCTTTGATCCCCTCTTCTAAAGGGGCTCGAACTTACAATTAGTTTTCAAGCAGAATTGAAGCCCTGCAATAGATTTAATAAACGTGCTAGATAAATGCAGCCACCTTGTCACATCAGCTGTAGCTGCTTCAGAGTTATACCTGTTTTTAAACAACAGAAGAGAAATCAGAATTCTGCTCTGGTTGCGTATAGAAACACCAATATCAGGTCAGTGAAAATTCTAGAGCTGAACAACCTTCATGTGCTGGGAAGGATAATGCATCCGGATCTTCTCTTGGGTCCGTATTTAGTCTAGCTAAGACCTTATACCTTCCTTGATTTTGTGCAGATAGAATCCACTTTGCTGTCTGCGACGGTGCTGCAGAATTGCAACTTGTTTCTAAATGTTATACTTTTGAAGATCACCTTATAAAAATAACACCCTGGTGTCAGTAAGGACATGGGTCCTTGCGACTAAGCACGTGTAAGATGCTGAGAAACACACTTTTCATCCCAATATAGTGTTAACTCTGGTACCTAAATGCACCAATATGCGTTAAGTAATTCACTGCTGTTAAGTTTAGGAGAAACATCTAGTTAATGCATTTAGCCCACAACCTCCAACTGCCTCCTATGCCCCCCGGGGAATCTCTTTTCTAACCGCCTATCCTACAGCATCCCCACTGACAACTCCTACTCAGCTATGCACTGCCAATAGAAACAGCTGTGACAGTTCCAAACTGAAAATGGGACTTGTGCAAATGAAATTCAGTGTAGCAGCAAAAGAAAGAACCATGGGGTTGCTCCACTGATTCCCCACCCTTTGGTCCCTGCTCGTCCAGATCATTCATTTTTCAACAGCCAAGAGGATGCCGTTGACCTTCCAGGGTGCTGCAAACCCACCGAAACTTGCCTCATCCTATGCCCAGTGTGCTGGATCGTGCTGATAAAGAAGGATAAAACCAGGTGAGAACTGGAGCCGAAGCAAAAGCTCATGGCAGAGAAACCCATCCACTCACTATAACACACATGCCCTCACCATGGGTTAAGTTTAAAGGGTCTTGGTTGCTGGTCAGGGCAAAACAAGCCATCTTCCGGAATTAGGCTGATTTCAGCTGAAACCCTTTTCTTAAAAATAATCTTCCTTTTGGATCTCCAGGACAAGGGGAATAAACAGCCTAAAATCCAAGGCTGAGCTATTGTTTTCCAATCTGTTTTAGCCTTCATCTTGTTGGCAGGCTGCTTTAGAAAAGCAAAAGGTTAATGAGCCAATGTGCAGTGGGATTATTGCAGTAAAGATGACAGTGAACCAGTAGTTACTAATTAGATGCAGTTTAACAGG